CCCCCCCCAATCAAGCCAAAGCAAACAGCGACCAGCCGCCTCCTCCCCATCGCCCTAACCCAAGGCCGCGGCGGGCTGGGCTGGGGTGGGGTGCAGCTGCGGGATTACGATCTGCAGCTGGGACTGCCCAGCGGCAGCGGAGCGGAGAGGCGGCGGAAGCGGGTGCGCGTCGCCCCGCTCGTGGCCGACGAAGAGGCTCGGCTGGAGAAGGACGCCGACACCGCCGCCCAGCTGGTGCGCATCCTCGACCGGGAGCGCGCCATTGACAGCGACGCCCTTCTGGCCCTCGCTGGCAGTAAGCAGGAGGAGCAGGAGATGGTGGTGGAGGAGGCCGGCGATGCGCGGGCCGCGGTGCGCACGCGGCTGCACCGGAGCATCGAATATCTGCGGCGCGTGCACCTGTTCTGCTACTACTGCGCCGAGCAGTTCGAATCCCGGGCGGAGCTGCACCGCGTGTGCGGTGACCTGCCCCACCGCCGCTCGACACTCTTCCCCGGGACTCCGTCGCCCGCCCGCGAAGCCGTCCCCCCCGAAGAAGGTACGGCCCCACCGCCATCCCACCCTTTACCCCACCCACCAGCTCTGGCCGTTGTTGTGGATATTTATATTTTGATAGATATATAGATATATAATTAGATATGCGTATCCGCCTTTTTGCGTGTGGCTGGTGGTGGCTGATGGCTGATGGCTGTTTGGACAGTGTCGTGGCTGGCGTACCTGGATGCCCGCCTCGAGCAACGGCTGTCGGCGCCGGCGCCGGAGTTGTGCACGGCCAAGCTGGCCGTGGAGCAGGAGGTGGACGCCTTCCTCGAGGCGCACGTCAAGCGGGAGGACGAGAAGAAGTACCGCTGCGCGGTGCCCAAGTGCACCAAGCTCTTCATGGCCCCCGACTTTGTACGCAAACACCTCAAGCTCAAGCACCCCCACCTCGTCGAAGAGGCCACCCGCAAGGTACCCGCCCCGCCACCCACGTATGCGTTTCACCCCCCCCCCCATCGCCCGCTGACACGTGCATCATCGTCCTCTCCCTCTCCATCTCCATCCCTCTCTCTCTCTCTCTCTCCCCCCCCCTCTCTTCAGATTTCGTCGTCTTCGTCTTCTTCTTGTGGGTGGGCGGCGGTGCTGGGGCGTCGTCGGCGTGGCAGGCCGTGGAGGAGCAGTACTTCCAGAACTACGTCCGCGACCCGCGCCGCATATTGCCCTCCATGCCCGAGGCCACTCTGTCCGCACGACCCGAGGTGCGCCCCGCCTCCCTCCCACCACCAGCCACCACGACCACCAGCCACCACGACCACCACCCGTCACTGCCAATGCTGCCAATGCTGGCTGGCTGGGGTGCTATTTGGGGGACCCGGCCACAGCCGCTTCCAGTCACTCACCCCCATATCATCTGCTCTTGCTCTTGCTCTCGTGGGCCTGGTACGCGGCGGCGGTGGCACGCAGCAGCAGCAGCTGCAGCAGCAGCGGGGAGGAGGTGCAGGGCGTGCGGCGGTGGCGGTGGGCGCCTACAGCAGCGGCGCGGGCGTGATGGGCGACGCCCCCGCGGGCATGTCGGCTCTCTCCTCCCATTCGCCGCGCCATCGCGACACCGCGTCGCCTCTCTATGCTCGCGAGCCCGTGGGCTACGCGCCGGCCTTTCCGCGGTCTCGCGGCTTCGGCGGTGGTCGAGGAGGCGGAGGTGGAGGCGGTGGCCGCTTCGGTGGGCACCATCGGCCGGGCTATGTGGACCTCGACGCACCCCCGGAGGACGCTTCGCTCGGCGAACAGCGGACGACGATTGACTACGGCGATCTGGACGCCGTGCCGGAGCCGCCACCGAGCATCACCTCACGCCTCATCCCGGCCTCGGCCACCGCCCTCGACGACTAGTAGCCGCTGTCGTCGCCGCCAGCACGACTGCCACGGCCTTTCCCGCACGAGAAAATGAACAAAAAAAAAGAATAAAAAAGAAGGGAAAAACAAAAAAAAGTGGAGATTATCATCTTTTTTGTTTCAAAAGAAATCTTGAAGACAAGACACTTCATCATCATCATCTCGCGCGCATCTGCTGCTGGGCATGGATGCGCCTCTCTCGTCGACCTCGTCGGTGGAGCTCGACACGCCCCCGGCCACGGAGAGCGAGTACGGCAGCGGTGCCACCGCAACTGAGGAAAGGAGGAAGAAGAGCAAGAGCAGCAAGAGCAAGAAAAAGAAGAAGGTGAAGGAGAAGGAGAAGGAGAAGAAAAAGAAGAAGGGCAAAGACAAAGAAAGCAGCGACCCCTCCTCTTCCTCGTCCTCGTCCTCCATCACGACAACCAAGAAGAAAACTCGACTGCAGAAGAACAAGAAGGAGAGGCGAACAAGCGATGCAGATTCAAAAGTGAGCCAGGGTCAGTTGCCCCAACTTCTTGTCCTCCTCCCTCCTCGCTCGCTCGAGGCCTCCCCGCCATTTGCTGACATTCATTTCATTTCTTTTATTTATTTCTTTCTTGTATCAAAAACATTGAGCTCCCACAGGAGGAGGAGGACCCTCGCTGAGCGCCACGTCGTTGACGGTGGTCGCCAGCCGAGCGGGTGGCGTCGGCGGCACTTTGAAGAAGGACCCCCACCCCCACCACCTGGGCGGCCTCCACCCGGTGGCCCCCGCGGCGGAGGACCAGGACTACATGGACAACCACCACGAAATCGGCATCAAGGAAATACTGGTGGTGGAGATGCTGGGCGAGGGCTCTTTCTGCAACGTGTGGAAGGGCAAATGCCGCGGCAAGGAGGTGCTCATCCGCATCCTCAAGCTTCAATCCAACAGCCTCAGCCACAAGGACATCAGCGAGCTGCGCGAGGAAGTAAAGCGACTCAGGTACTACTCCGAGGAGTCACCCCTCTTGCACTCTCCTACCCGCTGCCGCCGCGGGCACCACCTGCTGCTGCTGCTGCTGCTGCTGCGTGCTGGGTGCTGGGTGGGGTGGGCGACTCTTGCCTTCTCACGCTGCTTGGCCCTCTCCCGTTGCGCCGGGCACGGTGTGCCGCCATCGCCCCCCCCCCACAGCAAAATTCGCAACCCGCACATCGTCTTGTTCATGGGCGCCTGCCTCGGTACACACCCCTCCCTCCCTCCCACCCTTTCTTTTGGAGCACCTCACACTTGTGTGTCGTGTCGTGTGTGTGTGTGTGTGTGTGTGTCTGTGTGGCGGTGTATGTGTGGCGGTGTGTGTCGTGTGGCTGTGTGTGTCGTGTGTCGTGTGTTTCTCTCCGCCCTTGGCGTGCGGTGGTGCGTGGTGGTGGTGGTGGGGGGGCTTCTCTTCCTCGATCGCTGCAACAGAGCCGGGCTACTTGACGCTGGTGACCGAGTACATGCCGTCCAACCTGGAGATCAAGCTCCTGCGGGACCGCGACCGAAAGGACATCACCCCGTACCAGCGCCTCAAGATGGCCAAAGACGCCGCCCTCGGTACGCTCGCGCGCGTGCCCACCCTCCCTCACCGCCACCGCCTTCCGGCTGCCGCGCCTCCGCGCCACCACCCCACCTCACCTCACCACGCGTGCGTGCAGGGATCCAGTGGCTGCACAAGATGAACACGCCCATGGTCCACATGAACCTGCACCTCTCCAACCTCTTGGTACCCACACAGCAGCTTACTCCCCGCCCCGCCCCGCCCCTTTCCAGCCATCACTCCGCCGCCGCCGCCGCCGCCGCCGCCTACCCATCACCGGTGGTGGTGGCTGCTGGTGGTGGTCTTTTGCGCCTCGCGATGTCCCGCCGCCACCACAGCCGCCGCCGCCAATAGGCGTGGGAGGGGGTGCAGGGCTCTCTCCTGACTTGTTCGTCCGTGGGGCGGTGGTGCCGGCGGATGGTGGG